TTTTAAAATTGTTGAAAATGTGTTCTTTTTGTCATTTTGAAAAATTATTTCAAAAACTCAAAATTGAAAATTTTGGCCAAATTATAACTGAAAACGCTCAGAACGACAAATTTGTCGTTTTTAGTTTTCTTTGTAAATTTTAAATTTGTTTTCAAAAAATGCATTTTCGAAAATAAGAAAGAGAAAATGTTTTTACTGTTTAAAAAAAATCGAAAACAGAAAAATGACTTGAAAACAGCAAAGAGAACATCCCTTATTTTCTAGAACATATTTTCTCGTAAGCATTGATTTTATGCTAAGAAAAAAATTGTTACAAATTTTGTAGTGTAATTTAATTATTAAAAGTTCATATATTATAAAGTTGAAAAGTGTTTGTTCAATTGTTCTAGTTAACAAATCGATACAAATACATTTTTAGAATAATTTAATAAAAATGAATAAATACGTAGAATAAGGAAATATTTACTTTTACTTCTTTTATTAGTCATTTTTTTGGGTTTTTAAATTAAAAATCAGTTTAGACAAAAAAAAATATTGTTTATGTAAAATCGCCTTATGCGAAAAGATAAACAAATGATTTTTTCTTTAAACTAAAAACAATATTCTTAATCGCCTTTAAATTAAGTAGTTTTCTTCTTAAGAAATCGTGATTCTCTCCCAACTTATCCACTAGTTTGAACCAAAAATATGCATTTGTTTTCATTAGTCATAACTATGAGACTTAATGTTCAAGACAAAAGTTAGATGCACTGAAGGTACAAGTGCAAATAAATAATCTATTCTATATCTAATACCTTAAATTTCCAGACGAGTTCCTACCACTTGGTGGAGGTATTGGTATTGAGGACCCGTCCCTTCTTTTTGCCTACCTTCTGCACAAAGTGTTGGATATATTAATAGTAAAGTGCAAGAAAAACTTATCAATAGATCGAGTCTCGTGACAGCACGATGTCCTAAAGCAAAATTGTCCGTCGATAACTGCTGCGACCTCTGTGGACAATCACCTCCAGGATACAACGATCAAATAAACCAATTGTGCAGCAATCACAAAAGGTTTTCAGAACTCTCAAGTGTACTCCAGAAATATGTAAAACTAAGAACAATATTTTTTCTGT